TCAAAGGAAACTAATATTTTTCAAAAAAAAAAAAACCCTGTTTTCAAAATTCCACCAACAGGTATCTTTCCACTCCTTTCTCATACAACCATAAGTAAAAAAAACTTTTTATAGCATTCCATAAGTCTTTCCACACTATGTCCCAATAGTACTTGTAGAAAGAAGAAGTAAGACCATCCATACCTGGAGATCGATTATTCCCTTACTGGAAGACTGACTGCTGTAGCTCCATCACCAAAAATTCTAAGCTAAGGGCCAGGATATCCTCATGAACATCTTCTGATGTGCCAAGATATCGGGCTAACCCGTGAGTTGACAATCTCTAACTTTCCATTTTGCTTCAAAGTGTTGAATGAACACCTTTTCAATCTCCTCATCTTCTATTTGCACCACATTATGAATATCTTTAATTTGGTTCACTTTGTTGCCATTTCTCCTAGCCGTTGCAAAATTGTGAAACAATTTGGAATTACTGTCACCTTCCTCAAGCCACCTAGCTTTATCCCATTGGTTCCACCATGTTGACAACCTCTTCAAAGTTACATTAAGTTCATGGATTTTACTTCTAATTAAAATAAGATCATGAGCTAACCAATCACCACCCATAGCTTCCTTATGTTGAAACTCCAGAATATCCATCTTCAGCTTCTCCTTTAACTCATTTAGATCTTTACATTTGCTCTTACTCCAGAAAAAGAGAGCTTTTAAAGTTCTATTAATCTTCATTTGAAGAACCATACCTTCCTCTCCAAAATCATTCTTCTTCCAAGAGTGATAAACAATGCTTCTAGCAGCAGGATACAACCTCCAAGTATCCTCAAATCTAATGATTCTAGATTTTACACGCACCTTGTCATCCACATTGAAGGCAATAGGACTATGATCCGAAGCCACCCTAGCAAGATGCCTAGTAGCAGTCGAAGGAAGCAATTGAAGAGCAGCTGAATTCAAAAGACACCTATCCAGCCTCTCCCAAATCCTGGATGTCCCTTCCTTATTATTGCACCAAGTGAACCTTGGTCCAATACTCCCTACATCATGAAAATCACAATTAGTCATAAAACACTTCATACATCTAGGTCCTTTAGTGAAAAGGAACCTTTTACCACCTCCCTTCTCCTCTTTGCTTAGCACACAATTGAAATCTCCCCCAACGATAGAGGGATTAGAACTCACCATGCAGTTACCCAACAAGCTCCAAAGACTTTCCCGCTCCTTGCAACATCTACTGCCATAAACAGTAGCAATCCTCCATATCCCCAATCTAGGGATAGATAAATCTCCAACAATCATCTGAGAAGAAGTATCTTTAACCACAAAATTCCCAATTTTCATATTCCACAGCACTAAGATGCCACCAGAAAGGCCCACAGCAGGAAAATGGAAATAATCCCAATCCTTACCAATAAGACCATCAACATCCTTCCTACTTATATTAGTCATCTTTGTCTCCATAAGGCCAATGAAAAAAATATCATGATCTCTAACCACCTCTTTCAAATACAGAGCAGCCTCCTTCTTCCTAGCCCCTCTGTAATTCCAAAATAATAGTGTAGACATTAAGCAAGAGTAGGGGAACTCACCCCAATTAGGGACATCATTCTTACATCCCTTTTCTTTTTCTTCAATTCAGGATCAACCGGCCCCAAAGATTTCAGCTACTTAGCAATTCTGACTCTAGCAGAACCACTAATACAGGGCTTAACATAACTCACAACATCATCATTCATAACTTCCCTCCCCATGTCCAACAGCTTAACAGACTCTTCCAGCTTCCCAAGACAATCTGCATCACTGTCTTCATTTAAAACAGCAAATGAGTTGTTCAGACAAATTCCTAATTTACTACTTTCTGTCGTTATTCCTTTGCCTGCATTAATAGCTGGAACAGAATCCAATTTCTTCATCTGCTCATCAATTTCCTTTCCACTAACATCATGCTCTTGCAAAATAGTCTTCTAATCCGTATTTCCCAAGCTAGCAGTCCCGCTGACCTTATTAGCCATCTCCTCCTTAAAAAGCCCGTCTGCTCTTAAACTGGACGTGTATCCAAGGCCCATATTTAGTATTAATCACTGTAGACTTAGCCTCCCCTACAGCTTTTCTCACTTCCCCTGTAACAACTTCAGTTTTTTCCAACTCCTGATCTTTGATATCCAGAACCACCTTCTCAGGACACACACTCGCTTCATGCCCCGCTCGACCACAATGGTAACAAAGCAAATTAATCTTCTCATACTCAACCAGTTAGAAGAATCTACCGGCTAGACCATCAATCCAGACTCCATTAGGAAGTTTCTTTTCCAGGTCGATCCTGACACAGATACGGGCGAATTCTCTCTTTCCTCACCGAAACGTATTCCCATCTAAATACAATGGTGTGCCAAACCGAGAGGCAATTCTCGCAAGACTATCCTCATCCCAGCAGAACAGAGGCAAGCACGGGAGTCTGATCCACACCGGAGCTAAAATCCCTTTAAACGAATACGGATCAAAGGTCGTAGACCACCTATCCATGCTGACAACGTATCCATTAACATACCAAGGTCCCCCATTCAAAACTTCTTCCATAGCCTCATTCATTTTGAAGGAGCAGAGGATCCAATTCATACCAATTGAAGTCATATGAAATCCACCAAACTTGTTCCATTTCCTTCTCAAATCAAAGCTGCAGACAGAGAAAGGCACGTTACATCCTAGGACTTTGATCATAACCGACTGTTTTAGCACATCCGAATTCTTGGCTTCCAAAATTGGATTGAGCTTAACCGCGATTCCATCATCAGAAAGTTCACCTTGCTCATTTTTAAAATCAATTTTAATATGTTTCGGCTTCGACCAAGATCCAACCACCTCACCAACATCGCCTCACCCATTAGTATCCAAAGTATTATCCATCGGGATTTTCTCATTCAATAAACCCTTATCAGAGACATTACAATTTCCACTAACTCCGTCATCCTTGGTGATTTGAATATTATCCAAATCGTGAACCAGAAGAACCTGATTCATCCCAAAAAAACTTTTAACCTTCAAGACAGTCTCCTTCATCAAAGAGGATTCAAGATTGCCCAAATTGCAATCCCTATCAAGTTCTCCGGCATCATTCCGCCCCGAAGAACCTTAAGTCAAGATCTTCTTGCCCTTACCTTCTACCACAGTCAGACGAATCACCGATCTCGCCCCTTCTCTGATGACCAGGCCGCTTCTACCTCTACCACCAAATCGAAGAGGACTTGGGGGCCACGGAACTTCCATAACATCGGCCAAGAACGCCAATGATCTGTCGACGATGATGCCACCGGCCGGAAGAAAATCTGCGGGAGAATAAATTCAAACCGGAAAGTGGAGCTTTCTCTCACTAGAATCCTGGACTCTCTTTCTTAAAAGCCTATTCAAGAGATCAAGTTCCACAAAAATTATTCTTTCTACTATATGTCCTCATTTCCTTAGTTTGTGTAGTATGAGGGCTCTTGGTTACAAGAGCTCATAAGACTTTTGGGATAAGACTATTGAACAAGCTGAGAGGTTAGTGGTGAGGCATCTTTATTGTGCTAGGTGAAGGAGTGAGACTTCTTGGGAGAGAGAAGTGGTGTATGTTAAGAGAGTTTTTATTTGCATGTTTTACATTCTTGCAACTTGTATAGTTTTGATGATTTCAAATATTATTGTTTTAATTTTTGTTTTCTCCTAACACAGTTTGGAAGATTTGTTTTTTTTCTCTTGTGTGAACTAACATTTCAGGAAAATCGAACTCTAGATTAATGTTGACTTCAATTCATACTTCTAGAATTAATGTTGACTTCATCATATTCAGCATGAGATAGTTTGTAAATTGAAGTTGTACTTATCTTTGTATTGAGTTTGAGAGGGAGTGCTTATAATTATGTAGATAATCACACACACACACTTGGCAATGTCTAAAATGAATTAGGGTTGGAATTATTTAAACATTCAAATTTTGTGTTGTAGGCAATGGGGTTTAATTAAAATTTAAATCTTAATAATATATATATTTAATGAATTTTACATACGAAAGTTTAAGTATTAGCTTTAAGTTTTAAAGAACCAAGTTAATTTATAACTAGATAGAAATTTTTAATCAACAAGGCCTTCGCGTTAAGGAAATGAATGAATCTGTTTCATTTATTATACATTCATTTAATTCAATTTGTTTAAATGAGTTATTAAAATTGTTATAATTGAATTCAATTTTTAATCATTATTTGTGTAAATTAAATTACTTAATTTTAATTATTTATTTCTAATTTTGAAATTTATTTATATAATTAAATTTTAGTTAAATTTTCTTGTAATGTTTACATTAAAATTCTTCATGTAAGATTAATTAATTGAATTTCATTTATAATTTGGGTTATATTGAAATAATTCAAATTTTATTTATTTATTCTAATTTTTAAAATTTTGTTTAATTTTATTTAGATTTTCCATTTTGAAAATAACTTTTTCTTTTTTATTTAAAATAGATTATTTAATCTTAAATAAAATAAAAGAATTAATATTATTTTATTTCATATAAATTTATTTATTTTTTAGAATATTAATTATTATTTATCAATTTATTTATTTATTTATTTATTTATTTAATCTTACTTTTGTTTTAAAAATTTATTTATTATAAAATATTATTTTGATTATTTGTAATTTATTGAAAACAAAAAATTATATGATCGTACGGGACGATCAAGTCAATTATCCCTCAGTAGAGCAATGGATCGAACAGGAAGTGAGAAAATTTTTTCTAAGTCCTGATCGTCCGGATGAATTTCATATTCGTCCCGAAACGAACTCCTCGTGGATTCTCACTTTACACTGTATTGTCCAAAAGAAATGCATGATTCATCTCTTGACGAATCCTCCAGATTTCCAATTTGGTCTATTCGTCCAGATGAAATGCATGATTCTTCTCTAGACGAATACTCTGGATTTCCAATTTGGTCTGTTCGTCCAGACAAAATGCATGATTTGTCTCTGGATGAATCCCTGGATTTCCAATTTGGTCTGTTCGTCCAGACGAAGTCCAAGTTCGTCCTGGATGAACTCCTCTGGACTTTGAGTTTACACTAATCATCAAAACAAAATCTTAATTCATCTTTGGATGAAATCCTCTGTCCAAAAATCGTCCAGAATGAAGATATGTCGTCCCAGGACGAAGGAATCAACACTTCAAATTTTGACGTCGTCCTGCACTTTTTGGGAACCGACCTATGGAATAACCATTTGTACCGGACGAACATAGTTCGTACGATGATGATCGGGTATGAAGTCAATTTATATCAATATACTTGGGTTCGTTCATAAGCTTTTAAGTAAATTGTCCATGATGATCCATGATCGTACGGTATGATCCACTGCGTGTTTGACTTGAATATTTGTAGTTTTTGGACGGTTTTCTTTATCTTCTATATATAGTCCAATTTAGACTGCCACCAAATCATTTTGCCCATTGATCTTCATGCCTATTCGAAAGAAGATTCAAGGAGAGAGTGTGAGAGAGCATTCGAAAGAAGATCTTACTACTGGAGTGAGAAGGATTCACTTGTGGTTAAAGGTAAGAGTTCTATACTTTTGATTTGGAATTACTTCACTCTTCTTTCTTCCTTCTAGATTTCTTGTGAGAAGATCTATCAAGGAGATCCGATTCTCTGCCGACACTTAAAGGTGGAACAGCTGAAGGGTTCTCTGCCCCACAAAAGAGTGTGAAAGGACAAAGGGTCTCTTGCCCCACTAGGAGAGTGTGAAAGGATGAAGGGTTCTCTCCCACACTAGGAGAGTGTGAAAGGAAGGACGATTTCTGCCAACACTAGGGATGAGTGTAAAAGGACGACGGTCTCTACCGCACCGGGAAGTGGTGGAAAGAGTTTTTATAAAGCCTTCTCCGCCTTGCTGTGGTGCTAAAGGAGTCACTAGTTTATTAGTGCAATACTCGGAGGGTGCCTCCTGGGAGTGGATATAGGTCTGGTTTTGACCGAACTACTATAATTGGTGTTCTTTATTTTTCCACTGTTTTATTTTAACGTTTACAACTTGTGGTTGAAAAATCTATTTCTATAAAACTCACAAAGTTAGTTTTTATTCCAAATTTTAAGAGGTAAATATTTTTTTTTAATTACCAATTCACCCCCCCCCCCTCTTGGTTAACCTGGGAATAAGCTTAGGTTTAACAACCTAATTCTTAGTAAACGAGTTTCCACAGTGTACAAGGGTGTTATTCAATACATGTGAAGGAGAAAGGCCTCTATGCCTTTTTGGGAGTAGAAGGTGTGAATAGTGGAATACCTGAGGAGAGGACTCTAGGGAGTGAAAGTAGGTCAGGTTGACTGAACCACTATAAAACTTTTATTTGTGTTCATTTTTACTTTATTTTTATATTTTTAATTTTTTATTTTATATGGTTACATTTATTTTTAATATTTAAATTTTAAAAAAATATATTTTTTATATAAATAAATTTTTAAGACTTTTATTGCTCTCAGATTATTTTAATTAAATATTAAAATTAAAATTTTTTATTTTTCCATTTAATTTATTTTCTCTAAAATTTATTTTTTACTACTCATAGAAGATGTTGCTCTTAGAGAGAGTCGCCTTACATGCTTTGGCCAAATAAAATGTTGGCCTTCTCATGATCTGGTTAGGAGAGTAGATATATTAAATTAGACCTATGTTAAGAAATGTAGAGGTAGATACAAAAAGTTTTGGTTTGAAAGTATTAAAAATGACATTTTTTTAATTATATTTGAATGATAATATGACTCTTAATAAGACATAGTCAAGAAAAAAAATTCATATAGTTGATCCCATGAGTGGAATAAAAGTTTGATGTTATTGTATTGGAATATGTTGTTGATAATGTTTGGACTATAAGCAATAGTAAGAAAATCAAAACCCTAAAATATATAATAAAAAAATTCAAGAATAATAATAAAAATAGTAATAAAATGGATGCAAATTAACTTATTATGCATCTAACTAACTTTAAAAGTAGTTGATAATAATTTATTATACAAAGTAAAATATTTCTTGAAAATAATTGAAA